GGCTCTAAATGGGGCCATTTGGACTCACTATGACACTGGCTCATTCCCCAACTCCAGAGAGATGGCAAGAGAGGTTCCCCGTCTGTTCAGACAATATTCACCTTATTTCCTCTTGGACCTTGCTTAACAAACACCTTCCTGGATAAAGAAATACCTTAATGTTGATTTTAGGGGTCCCCCGGCCACCTCTCAAACACTGAAACATAAATATACACAAATTTATCTACATAACCTTCTGTGAAGCCTTTCTGCATTCCCCAGAGCCAGCCATACTCAGCCAGTGCATTGGACCAATGGCAGGGTTCTGTGAAATCCAGGCCTTGGCTCTGCTTCATCTTGGCAGCAGGCTGGTTCTTCCTCAGAAATGGAGGTAGTCCTTCCAGGCAGATGCATGGGTCAAATGAACTATGTATATTAAAGGCTACATACCACATTCAATGTATAACTAGGTACATGTGTATGTGTGTGTGTGTGTGAAGGCAGTCGGCGGCCCTGGCTGCTGAGAGTCAGAGCACTCTGACAAGGAAGACCAAACACTCCTGCCCAAATGGAAGTCGACATCTTACTCAACTTTCTCATGTGACAGGTTCTTATCAGTCCCCATCATTCATGAGGCCATTCTGATAATGTGAGGGACAGAACAGCAGGGACCTCCCTCTGTGCCTCTCAGAGACACCTTCCTTCTCTACTTGGCCCCAACAGCTGCTCCAGCCTGGGCTTCACATTCCCATGTCAGTTTGCTTTCAGACCATGACTTATTATTCACAAGGCCTAAGGCTCTGCCACACATTGTAGGGACAGTCATCCATAGAGGCTGATGCAGACCTCAAGTTACCTCTGAATATTCAGCCACCAACAATCCCCTCTTATCACTCGTCCCTTGACACAAGTCTCCCTTTTCTACTGACCAAGTAGTCACGAGAAGACCTGTCCAGCACTCTTCTGCAAGCCATGTGTGTGTTCCAGCTGAGGGTCTAACCTTCCTCTCTATCATAACCATGCAACACATCTATGCACTTTCCTGTTTTTATTCAACATTGGTGACCTCTAGTGATCTGAGAACTCTCCCCCCCCCCAAAAAAAAAAGCAATTTCAAAATTAGCCCTGCATGTCTGGAGCAGTGTCAGTGATAATGTCCATGAACCCACATGCTAGGTGGTAGACTCTGCAGTGAGCTCGCTTGAAGAAGTGGGGCCCTTGTTGGGATATGCTTCATCTGCAGGCACTTGTCTGCTACCCACAGCTCTCCAACCTCACACATAGCGCGATTCATGTTCCAGTTGATAATAATTTTTACATAGCGCACTCGTTATTGCCATCATTGTCACATTTACTTCAGGTGACGGCAATGGCTGTGCATGTGCAAGGTTGCAGAATTCGTGTGAACTGTTGAGTCCGAAGAAGAAAACTGTTTGGACCTAAGATACATCATATCATATTACAAAAAAATATGTTTTAAAACTATCTTGTTCTTTTATAAGAGAAAAAATATGTTATGCTCACAAAATACACTAGCATTTCCTAATCATATATCTACATATGTATATATATACATATATATATATATATACATACATACATACATATATACACTTACATATATATATGTGTATATATGTATATGTGTATATATATGACATCCTTTAAACATAAGAAGGTTGCCTGTGTGTGTGATTAATGCCTATCACTCAGATACTTGCAAAACGGAGACAGAAGGAAGATTCAAAGTTATCCTCAGCTACATTGTAGGTCAGAACACAGCACAGGCTACCTGAGACCCTGCCTCAAAATACAAACAAAGCAGAAAGAAACAGAGCCAAGTGGAACACTCAGAAGCCAGTGCTCTCCTTACCTGCCATGGGCTCAGAGTGGCAGGCATTTGCTGTGTGGGTGATGCATCACTGGAGGGATCTTGGTTTCCTGTGATTGCTGCTGTGGTCTGAGTCCTGACACGTGACTCTGAGCATCTAAGAAACCCTTGCTGAAGGTTCACTGTGCATGGGCGTGAACAGCTACCTCCATCAACTGGAGTCTAGTTTCTTCTTTTGTTTGACCTGGGTGCACTTGGCATCCATCTGTCTGTCATCCTAGAACAGAGGCCAGTGCCAGTGTGTATGGCATCTCCTGGGGAAGGTTAAGTTCCCAGGCATGAACTGCACATAGCCACTGAACACCGAGGGCACCCTGGAGATTGGCTTTTATTCAAGGGAAACAAGATAGCCATTTGGGTGATAAAGTATTCATTCCCTATTACCATCTTGTTGCCAAGACTACTGCAGAGAATACATTGCTTAAAAGCAGCTAGAGTCCTACAGACACTGAAATTTGATTCTGAAAATGAATCAACAGTCTACTGACCATCATCATGTGCTGCTTGCTATTTAATGCTGATTGGGATGACACTGTGTCATGCTTTGAGACAATAATCTTTCATCTCTTTAATTATGCCCTCCCTCTAAGACATCATCATTCTGTGTACCTTAAGGAGGTGAGTCTACAGATGTAGTTATTCACTTAAGTATGAGTTGGCATTACAGGAAACTCTGACTCCTCTAAAGGAACAGTTTGGAAGCACTTGATTTTACTTAACACACTTTCATTTTGATTGTAAACTACTGAAGACACCCGGAGAGAGTCCAACAACAACGAACAGTATCTGGGTTCTCCTCTATGTAACTGAGTTCAATAGCACTAATGCAGGCAATTCTACACCAGGGCAGACTCACAGTAGCACTGTGATTATAGTGTGGGGTACTGAAGGGTGTGGAAGAGGAGGAGGGCATCTCAAGAGGTCTTCACAGAATTGACTGACTTAGACAGTAAACTCAAGTGATTTTTACTGAGTGTTCCCTAAACCCTAGAACCAAAAGGCTTGAAACAACACCCACAATCAACTTCCCAACACAAGTCTTGTTACTTTCCCACTTTACAGGTAGATACAAAACTGAGGCCTAAGTCAGTTTTGTCACAGGGTGAAGCAAAAGGCAGAAAAGCAACTCCAGGGCTCTAACATAAAATGCCCATTCTAACCAGTGGCACGCCCTGCTTTCTGTCAGGGGCAATGGGATATCAGCACACACGTGTAAGTTAAGACAGTCAGGAGGAACAGAACCCTGGGACTGTTTGGAAAATCCAGGGTCAGCTACTTACTGTGGCTGAACTTGTGTTGATGGGCACCATTGAGGAGCAGTGGACTACAAGACCCAAAGAAGGCAGATGCTGGAGTTAGCAGGTGGCTTCAGCCTCTGACCTTCAGGACCCAAGGCAAGCAGGGACGGATTAAGATGTACCCAGCAGAGGAAGGATAGAGTGACATACATCATTTAAGGATTCGTTCGTTCATTCATTCATTTAATTCTTCAAAACTATTGGCTGATCTTCCTGCACGGGCCGAGATTGCTCTGAGGGTTGAGGGCACAGCAGAGACTAAGAAACTTGTCCTTGGCCTCGTTGTGCATTTAGATATAATTGTCAGTGTATATATAAGCAGAAGACAAGCAAGTTCCAAAATGAATAAGGCCGCCGTGAAATGGAGTGGGCACAGCAGAAGCCTGGCTACGGGGGAACAGCCAGCGCAGAAGAACAGGCTGAGAAAGGGACACGTGACATGCGGTCTGGATGACAGAGGACCCAGTTATAGGCGGAACAAAGGCAAATTCTCAGCATCGAGGAAGAGTCTGAGAGCGAGTCAGTGATGCGAAGGCTCCAAGGTGTGTAAAGCCGGGAGGGCTTGAGGGAAAGCTCATGCAACGAAGAGCAGGAGATATGCTTGGGAGGAGGCAGGGCAGGCTCGGGTGAAGACAGCTGGGCATCTGCATTGTGTCCCAAGTGAACCCGTAATTCGCTGGGAGGTTTAAGCAGGCCGATGTCTTAACCTGCTTTATATTTTGAAATGAACACTCTGGAAAGGATGGACCGCTCAGGGGCAGAGGTGAAAGCGGAGAGACCAATTAGGAGGAGAACCCAGAAGTCCTGAGGAGAAAGAGGTTCCCTTAATAGAAGAGTGGTGGGTGCGTCTGGTGGTGTTTGCAAAGAAGCCTTCACTGGAATGAGAGGCAGTGGGGATTGCTTGGTACAAACCAGGAATTTTGGCAGATGGCACTGGCTGACATTGATGCTGGTGGCCACAGCCAGGGAAGGGACTGGGGAGCTCGTGACATGAAAAGTTCTGCTGTGGGCCTGGGAGAGGACGCAGATTTGTGGAGGACTCAGGAGGGCGGGTTCTGGGCTCCCTAGGGCAGCTGCTCTGAGAACGATAAAGATCAAATAAAAGCAAGGAAGACTGCAGCTATGCAGAGTGTGCAGAGACAAGCAGACCTGGTCAGTAAGGAAGAGCAGGTTCAGGGAGCCCTGGGGGGGGGGGCGTGCATTCCTGTGGAGTGGGTAAGTGCGTAGGCTTTGGGATGTGGTTTTAGATGAGCCACACCCAGCTCTGAAGGTCTATTCCTGGGATGCTGTTTCCTTAACTGTGAATGGAGAGGATGGTGCCACATTGACGCAGGCTGGATGAAATGGCCGGGTGTAAGTGCTTCGCAGACAGTGGTACTAACACAGCCCTGGGGGGCTTATCATTTCATACTGCGGATGGTGCATTTGTGTAGACTTACTGAGACATCAGTGTCATGAGCTCCTTTTAAGTAAAGACTGCAGTATTGGCTGCATCAAGACTCAGCACTCATTTGTTTCCATCCACCCACTAAAACAGGATGATAGAAATACCGATGTCTTCTCTTGTTGTGAAGACACATGAGCTGAGGCCCAGTTTGCCAAGGCCAAACTGCTGGCAACCATAACCATAACCTGTGTGCAAGACTCACACTTGGGTCTGACCTCCTCAAACAGTTCCAGCTCAACCGAAACAAGATATAAATAAAGTCAGATTGCTTAGACATCTCACTGACATTTCCTCGGGTCTCTGCTGTGTGGTTGAATTCTGTTTTATATGATATTTCTATGAGACCAGCACCCCCATGTAAAGAACTGTATCATTCATCTTCCAGTGTTGGGACACACTCCAATCCAGGCCTGTCTTTGGAGGAAATGAACAGAAGTACCCAATACTCAACCACTGACAAATATGGTAAGTAGCAGACATCAAAGAAATCACTCCTAGGAAGATGGCTGTCACTCGTTTAGGCAGCAGGGGGAAAAAAATAGTTTGCAATAACCAGAAATGATAGGCAATTAAAGATATTCTACAGATTCTGATACTGAAGTCTGTAGAACTGTCCCTTTATCTCCAAACATGATTAGGTGTGAGCATGAGTGTGCATGTCTGTGTGAGTGTGCTTGAGGGTTTCACTGTATACACATTGGGTATGTGAGCTCAAGGGCATGTGTGTGTGTAAGTAAGAACACCCAGAGTATATATGAACAGGTGCCTATATTGGAGTGTATACAGGTTCCAGAGATTGTAAGCATGCATGAATTTGTGTGTAATAAAGACTTAAGAAGATGCCAGGTTTCATGTAAATAATCTCTGGCTCTCCTGGCATTGTGAACCTTTGCCATCACTGCACTGGACCCAATCCCTCTGAGTCAGCCTCACTCTGTGCAGGGAGAAGTTCCCACAGTCGCATTCCCTGGTGGAGTTCTTCCCTGGGAGCTGAGCGACACAGGGTTTAAAGCAATCCATCCATTCCCTCAAACAGCTGGCTCAGGCAGACAGGAGAGCTGCCTGGGTCTATCTCACAGGACTGCTCCATGACAAATTAATAAGGCTCTTTGGAATAATTAATGAAGCTTGATGCTGGCCTCTGGACACCAAGGGAAATACAGAAGCCTTTACTATAAGCTACATTAGGGTGTTTGGATAGATTGAGAATTCCTATAAATAAGTATGATATATTTAATATTTCCTACTAGAAGTATCATATCGTCTAACTTTAACTACCATCAGCTAGGACTAGGGTCATGATATCCCTTCTAGCCTTTAAGTCTAAGAGGCTCCATGTTAATCCAAATATTGGTCCAATGGCCCATTTATTCATGGCCACTTCCTTTGATTACATGAAGGACTGAACACATTGGTTAAAGCCATCATATTTGCTACTAGACTGATGACGAACAGGCTGACAATAGTGACCTGAGTGCCTACAATAGGAGATCTGTGCAGAGATCTGCTACTCAAGGCACTAGAAAGCCTTGAAGAAGCAAAGGGAAATTTCTCTGCTCGGGTGCACTGCACTGAGCTCTGGCTACCTCGAGAACCTTAGAGGAAAGAGCTCTCTTCTTGTGTGTGCTAGCATGTAGGAGGGCTCCTGTCAGCAGCTGTATGGAGTCAGTCCAGTAATGGATCCCTCAGAGGACCAATGTCTCCAGCTGTCAAAGCATCCCATCTTTCAATAGATGCCAGTGCCTTTTCTTAAGGCTTCTCGGTAACAGTCAGGGTATCTTTCGAATTCTGGGCCTAACAGGGAAGCTTCCCAAGGTTGATTCAATATGAAGCTGCTCTTTCACCTAAAAATAACTTTAAAGAAAAATTAGATTGATTCATTTAATGTTATGCATGAGTGTCTTGCTTACATTTGTGTCTATGTACCTCAAGCATGTTGGCATCATGAAGATTAGAAAAGGGCATCAGATCCCCTAGAATTGGGGTGTCAAAGGTTGTGAACTACCATGGTGGTATGATGATGGAGGTTTCTGTTCTGCCAGGTCCCGCCCCCCTTCAGCCCCAAATAAACATATGGATGCTATATTAATTTATAAGCTGTTGGTCAATGGCTAGAGCTTCTTACTGGCTAGCTCTCTCTTAATTACTAACCCATTTCTATTAATCTAAGTATTTCCACATGGTCTTATCTTACCGGAGAATGCCTGGCGCATCCTGTCTTCCTGGTCTCTACTCCCTCTGCCTTCCTTCCCCTATCTTTCTCCTCATCCCACCTGTATTCCTGCCTGCTATTGACCAAACAGTGTTTTATTCATCAGCCAATAAGAGAAACATATGTACAGAAGGACATTCCCCATCAGTGGTACTGGGACTTTAACTTGGGTCTTCTGCAAAAATAGCCATCACTCTTGACTGCTGAGCCATCTCCCTAGCCCCTTGAGGATTTCTTCTTAAAGAAACATCACTCATAGAATTCCCCAAGATGAAGTATAGGAAACAGGGGGGTTAAGTAATACTATAAATGCCTACCTTTCCTAAACATCTCTGTACCAGGGTCAGTAGAAAACATTGGGGTGTTTGGATTGAGTGAGAATTCCTATAGATAGGATGCATATATATTTTTACTTCCCCCACACAGCAATAACATTTTGCACAGCTTGAATTACCCTTTCTTTTCTTTTCTGTTTTAGTTTGTTTTTCCATTTGCTTGTTTGAGGTAGTATCTCTCCATGTAGCTAAGGTTAGCCTCAAACCCACAGCAATCCTGTTTCCCAGCTGGAGAACCATTCCCAGAATGGTTGCAATTTCATTTCCTCCAGCAGCAATCTCATGGACTTTCTTCTTTTAGTTTTTAAAATGTATTTTAATATATTCTTTGAAAATTTAAAGGTGTATATAGTGCATTGTTATTGTATTTACTCTGGGGCAATTACTCTGGCCCCCTCCATCATGTGGACATTCCTCTCCTGACTTTATCTAATCTTTTAAAATAACCGTCTAGATCCATGTAGTGCTGTCCATATCTGCATGGGAGAAGGGCCATCCACCAGAAAATGGTCAACCTACCAGGAGCCACAACTGTCAGTATTCCTCAGCTTGGAGTATGGACTTACATACCAATCTCACATCCATGTTGGAATAGTGACTGGTTTGATCTCATGCAAGTCTTACATGTGCTAACATAGCTACTGCAAGTTGAAAGATAGTTGTATGTGTACTTGACAAAAGCTAGAGTCATTGGCCATGAGGGGATCTCAATTAAGAAAATGCCTTCCCAAGGTCAAGCTCTAGGCAGACAAACTGAAGGATATTATTTAAATTAATGATTAATGGCAGGGGTAGTAGCAAATAGTGTGTGGAGCTGCCCTGGGCTTGTGTTCCTCGCTTCTACAAGAGAGCAAACTGAACAAACCATGATGAGCAAGCCAGTAAGCAGCATCCTCCATGGCCTCTGCATCAGCTCCTGCCTCCAGTTTCCTGCCCCGTTTGAGTTCCTGTCCTGCTTTCCTTTGATGAATAACAGCCATGTGGAAGTGCTAGCCAAATAATGCCTTTCTCCACAACTTGTTTTTGTTGATGGTGTTTTTATTCACAGCGATAGTAACCCTAGCTAAGGCAAGTGCCATGGACCTGTCACGTCAAGAGGACATCATTCTCCTTCAATCCTCTTCTTAAACTCTTCTACCCCTCTTCCAGGCCGGTCCCCCAGCCACAATACGTGGGTTGAGCTACTTTTAACACCAATAGGAAGAGGTAGAATATGGAAGTAAAAATGAGCAGGCAGCTGTTCCGTCTTTACTGCAGACTTCCTCCCTTAGGTAACAAAACACATGAGGTGTGGCTCAGTCTCTTCTCGAACGCTGCAGTCAAATTCTGGACATCGCACTGTCACAGGACATCAGTGTGAAGCACCAGCCCCAGTGGCTGCTGAATTTTTCACTAGTTCCTGAAGCATAAGGGACCCACACCTTCTGTCAGGTTTTCATTGGAGTCCATGGGGCAGGGTAGGAGGTGCTGCCACAGCCAACCACGTATGGGACTCTAGAAGATGAGAAAGTCATAATTCACTGACAGTTGAGTGATGCTCTCTGTGCCCAGAGTGAAGTGGCATTTCAGCTGGACAAAAGAAATACGTCTATGCTAGGATGCTGATTCTGCTCTACTGATCAACAGCTAAGATTTAGTGATGTGAGTTGGCTTTCTCTCATCTAACATACATACCTCACCTCCCAACACACATGTGCTCTCACACACGCTCATGTGCATGCCTGCGCGTGCGCTCACACACACACACACACACACACACACACACACACACAGGCCCTCAGCTCTGACCTGGGCCAATCCTCATAGAGGAAAGTCAGATGAGCCCATGCTCAGAAGAGGCACTGTCAGCAGCAAATTCCTGCAGAAGTGTTTGTTAGGGCGTACCTTCTAAGAGATTTAAGAGATTTGGACAGAGATCTTTCTTTAGAAAGTGAATGTGCCCAAACTCCTGCATGTGGCTACATTGCTTAAAAGTGATGTGTTGGCCCTGATAACTGGGGCTTTGATGGAGGAAACCATCAGCAGCTGTTGATGAACCACCTGTTTTGCGGAAGTAGTGGATGGCCCTGTGCCAGCGTGGAAGTGAAGCTGAACTCTAGAGCCAATGGATCTGGTGCTGTACTCTAGAGCCAGTGGATTCAGTGCTATACTCTAGAGCTAGTAGATCCAGTGCTGTACTCTAGATCTGCTAGATCCAGTGCTGTACTCTAGAGCCAGTGAATCCAGTGATGTACTCTAGAGCTGCTGGATCCAGTGCTATACTCTAAAGCCAGTGGATCCAGTGCTGTACTCTAGAGCTGCTGGATCCACTGCTGTACTCTAGAGCCAATGGATCCATTCTTGAAGTTGCCCAGGGCTGTTGCCTCAAAGGGCATCTAATGCCACTGGTCTTCAGACACAATTGTTTGATGAGCACTTAAAAGGTGAGCATCTAAGTAGACAAGCAAGCAAATGTTCCCAGGCTGCTCCTCTTTCCACACAATCCTTCCCTTTCAAGCCATCATTTGCTTTATCCCCTGGTGTTGACTGCCAGTCATCAGACACAGACTGCAGTCTTGTAGGAGGAACTAACCATTCCCCCATTTACAGATGAGACTGCTGATGCTTAGAAATGTTTAAGCTGACAAATACCCCAGCGACAGCAACCATACAACCATTACTTAAAACACACTTGCCCGGCACAAAATGTGTGCTATCTACTATGGTGACTGGCTTCCCTCCAGAAGCACACGCTGCTCTCCTGTGAACCTAAAATACTAACCGCAAACCAGTGCTCAAAGCAGACTTGTCACGGATCTGGCGTCAGTGCCAGCTTTCCATTTCAGTTCTTAGCAGCCCAGGGACTCTGATCCAGTCTTCAGTCTCAAGATCCCAAAGGACTGTCTGGCAGCTGACTGTCTCACTGGGCTCTGCTGGTGCATACAGGCAGGGGGAGGTGCTAGAAGGTCAATAAGTGACAACTAAACTTCTTTTCTGTCGCAGGCTATGTGTCTGATCCCATGAGCCCAATGCAGTTTCGCTCCTGCCGGAACAGTGGCAGCTTTGAAGACAGCAACTGACAGGCCCGACATACACCTAAGGAGAGTTTCCCCACACACTGACAGCAGGGATTCTATCCATGGCGGCCTCACTTCCAATTACAATGCTCTGCCCTCTGAGGTGTCTTCAAATTGCCTTGTTTGTTTTGCCTCTGCTAAATCCCCTTCTATAGGGTGGGCTTTGGATTGCATGAAGTGCCAAATAGCAAATGGAGAATGCACATGATGAATTGTTCTAAGCTTGATATATAAAGTGCCTTAGTTGCTTGGGGATGGGGTTCAAGTCTATGTAGATGTCTGGGTTGGTTTTGATCCTTATGCAGGCCTGTGTTGGAGTGTTTCTGGTTGGGTTTCTAACAATGTTGTTTATTGCCTTGTCTCTTGACTTCTGGTGTTCATTCTGTGATTAAAGACTCTTTGCTGTTCCAGAACACTGGTTCTGAAGTGTGTTTTATTAGAACGGGGCTTACACTGACTGTGTCTCCTTCAGGAGGACTGGTAAAAGCACAGAAACATAAAAATGTGTGGTTACCCAGCTTCTTCCCTGTGTCCCACCAACTGTTTTGGCTTTACCTGAACAACCCATTAGTGTTAGTTACTAGTAAGATGTCACTAATGACATCAGATATGAAATCAACACACTGATGCCAAGGTAGAATTTCACACAGACGTGAAGGGAAGTATTTCACACAGATGGGTTGAGAGACATGGGCTGGTGAGATGGCTCAGCAGGTCAGTGCAATTTGGTGAAGCCTGATCTCCAGGAGCCCAGTGTCAGAAGAGAGGACCAATTCCTGTGAGCTGTGCTTTGACCTCCACACTCAAGCTACGACGTGTATATACATATATTCACACACCCAATAAATAAATGAAATGAATTTTTAAGAATAAAATAAATGGGAGATCTGCCCTCCATGCTAGTGGCTCAAGCCTGGTTGACAGAAATGGTCCCACCAGATAACAATGCTCTGCCACTGAGAGAGACTGGGGCATGAGAAACACTGAAAATCCAAAAGTAGTCACTGCTGTAGAGCACAGTAAGAGAAATGGAATTAGCCAAGGAAAAAATCAAGATGTTTCAAGCTTCATACTGTTTCTGGACAGTACAATTCTGTGTTGGGTGCTGTCCCGGGCACTGCCTCGTGCTTACAGTTTGCTGTAAAGCCAGAGCACCTCCTGTGATACTCAATTTTACTGAATGATGGGACATGCAGGGACCCAATTAAACAGTTACTCTAGGGTTGTCTGTGAAGGTAATCCAGAAAGAACATCACCTGAAGTATACTACAAGGTAGCTTGCCCCAGATGTGGGTTAGCCCACCAGAGTCCGCTAAGACCTGAGTAGAGCAGATAATAAGGAAGGGAACTTTCAGACCTGGTGCCCAGGGCCTTAGACTCACACTGGAATCTGCACCCTGGGCTCTTAAGCTCTCAGGCCTTTCATCTGCATTACCAGCAATTTCCTACCAGCAAGTCAGCACATATTAGGGCTTTTCAACTTCTGCCAATATATGAGCTGATACCATGTAAGACACACACACACACATACATATATGTGTGTACATACATATCATGGATGTATGTACACATTTATATCCATATGAAATGTGCATATATATATACACACCTTGGATACTAAAGGAAAAATATCCATCATTCATAAATTGTAGTGATATATTATTTATGATTTATTAAAGCTTGACTGTGAATTCAGAAAAGCAAAGTCAGCCTCAAGCTATAGAGGTCAGGCAGTAGTGATACACACCTTTTTAATCCCAGCAGCTAGGAGGTGGTGGCACATACCTTTAATCCTAGGATTCAAGATTAAGAGGTAGATGGATCTCCATGAGTCCAAGGCCACCCAAGACTGAATCCATCTAAAAGATAATTATAGATCACACCCAGAACTAGAGGGGTATAAAAGACAGAAACAAGTAGTCAGTATGAGGCATTGGTTCTCCAGCCATGCTGAGGAGAGGTAGCTGTATGAGACTTGGTGAAGAGTTCGTGTATGGATCAGCATTTTTCAGCTTGAGCTAGAAGTGAGAGCTAGTGACCGACTGCTTTGCTTTTATGATATTCTGCTTGAAATTTGAAGCCCAATATCAGTCACTAGGTTCATTTATTTATTGTGTTACAGTCAATAACCTATCATCAATCTATTCGGCTATCTATCATCTATTCTTTACTTACTCATCTGTCAATAACCTATCATCTAGATATCTATTTATAAACTATTATCTGTCTGTCCATCTGTCAATCCTCTGTCATCTATCTACCTAAATATCACCCACCTCCCATTGCTTCTGTTTCTCTCAGAAACCCCAGCTGATACACCTATTTCAAATAATGACATCTAAAACTAGCTCCAAATAGTGCCCATCATTTGTAAATACCAGCATACAGCAGGGGTTGGAGAAAGACATATGAGGATTGTGAGTTCAAGGGTAGTTTGGACAATATACCAATACCCTATTTAAAAAATAATATGTCCCTGTTTATTTCTCAGTATGCCCTGGAGGACATAGTCTTCCCTGTTCTAAAGCCAGAGCAGACAAGTTGGAGATTGAAAGCTGCCCCTGAGGAGCATCTCTCAGGAGCATTTCCTTCTTCTGAGCTAATGTGGATTCAGACAAAGATCCATGCATAAATGTGCATCGTGACCCATAGATGTCTCAGTAGGCTCTGATCTCTTCTGTTTGAAATTATATTTCTAGAGAGCAATTCCCATAAAAAAAACAGCAATCCCATATCTAAAATCTTTTAGACTGTCTTTTATGATAGCAAAACCTCTAGTCCCTATGAGCCACAATAGAATTACAGATAGCCCAGTACAGGTGCAAATGTAAAAATTAAAAACCTGGTAAATCCAGTAGTTTTCATCCCTTTTAAGCCACTGGCCTTTCCAGTCTCTCATTTGCTTATTCCACAGTGACAGGTACTGAATCCCATCATACATATTCTCAAGAGGCTTCTAAAGAACACAGCCAAGGAAGGAAAGATAACTGCTTAGGCATAAACACTGAAAACAGATGCAGGAGAGAAAAATGGGGCCTAGCTAGGGAGCAACTGTGTCGACGAGTCCTTTCCTGTTGCCTTGGAGGGCTATACTAGGCAGCAAGTCAAATCCAGTTGAAGCTACTCCCCGGGCATGGTATTTAATGGATAAAATAGAAAAGAACATGGTGGACAGTGGAGGCTGGTTCTAACAGGACATGTGCAATCAGCACTGTGGACAGTGTGGGAGATGAGGAGAAGCAGGCATGCCTTCACTGGTTCCCACTGGAGAGGTCATACCCTGGGTGAGGGCCTTTGTCTTCTCCTGGGATGCTCCTCCTTTTGAAGGAGACTGTGCAGCAGAAAAGACTCAGCTGCCTTTCTCGACTCCTCTGGGCCTCCTCCTTCCCCTCACTGTCTCTCTTATGTCCCTGCTTCCCTCTGCTCTTGTCTTGTCAAGTATCTGCAAATAATGAGGCTAATGCATCTTGATGCCTGAGAAGGGAAAACCTTTCCACAGAGTCACCCTATGGCTCACAAACCCTCCTCATTACCACACCCTTAATGGGGCCTGAGGCTCATCTTAACCATGTCTTAGGAACACAAGATTTTTCAGGTATTTTTTTTTCCTCCTTGCTGAAAAAAATGTCTCACTAATTGCTTCCCCTTTCTGCTTGTAACAAATGGACTTCTGAGATCATGTATCTGTATGCTTAGCACATTAGATATTCCTCCATGTGCATGCAGCACTGAGCTCACCCTGAAGATGTTCTGTTAATTATAATTGTGAGCCGCATTACAGCAGCAACACAGAGAGCCATTCCAAGAGCTTGAATATTTGGGTTAAATTATTTCCTAAACTGGCATGTCCCTAGGAAAGAGAAAAGTGTGGTTGTCTATAAGAAGGAAGGCTAACACAAGGCAATCCATCTAAAGTCAAGGGGTTCTCAGTTTTCTCTTCTGAACCTTCCGCTCTTTCCTGACCGCCTGTTCTTGATTTTACCTTTCTCTATGCCACTCTTTCATTTCCTCCCTTCTCTTCCCTCTCTCTATTTTGTGGCCAGTTTCTCCTGAAGTTTCTCACTTCCTCTCCCTTAAACAATAAGCACCAGCTCTGGAGTCACCTGATCTTTTCCAGCACGTGTGTAATCACAGGTGAGTCTCTCTTCTTCTTCTCCTCCTCCTCCTCCTCCTCCTTCTCCTTCTCCTTCTCCTCCTCCTTCTCCTTCCCTTCTTCCTCCTCCTAATCCTCCTCCTTCTTCTGCCTAATGATACTAGCATTAACTCTTCAAGTTCTTATAAGAATATCAAGTAACCAGAGGACGTAATTAGTTCTGAGATCATATTAGCAGATGCCTTCATCTCTTACTATTATCTCTGTCCAACTGCAGGCAAGCATGAGGAAGGAGGAGATTGTCTCCTCTTTGTATCAAAACTAGCAGTATCTCTAAAATACCTTTTCATCACAAAGAATGGTCTGCACATTGGACATCTCTGAGGCAAACTGAACCAGTCTCTACTCCTCCTTTAGTAGTAATGTGTGATTCTAGATCTGACATAGTGTCAGAAAAGATTACAGTCAGTTCCAAACACAAGACACAAAGAATTCCCTGTGAGGGAGGACAGTAAGTGAAAACAAAGCACAAGACCACTGCACAGATGCCTGCAAGATAGCAGAAATGCATTTTAGTGCTTGTGTTGTCTGAGATCATTCTCTACATATTCCTAGAAAGAATAATTTTTTCCAAGTTGAAAATTCGTGTTCAAGTGAATTCAAGCACACTAGAATAGAGACCAATTTCAGATCGTGTGTGAGAGCATATTTGTATATGTGAGCACACAGGCCCACATGTCATGCATGAGTGGAGGTCAGAGGACAACCATGGATATACCAGTCTTTGTCTTCTATCTTGTTGTTTTCCACTGCACACACCGGGCTAATTGACCAGAACACTTTTAGGGAATCTTCCATCTTCCCATAGGCACAGTAGAATTATATACATGTGGATCCTAGGGATTGAACTCGGGTCCTG